GTACGAGTGTGCAAGAAGACGTTGGTGGAAATACGCCCAAACAACTTGAGACGCCTCCTCGTACGTAATGTCTCATGACTATTTATGTGGTACCCCGGAATGCGTGGTTTGTCCCTCCGGTAGAGCAGGTGATTGCATAAAGTCGGGGGTGATCTATTCAGTTCTCTGCCTTGCATGTGGTAGTGAATATGTAAGGCATTGTTCACAGTCGCCAGGCCCTGACGAAACGGCGGTTGGGAGAAAAGCAAAAAAATAGTCATCGATCGGAGAATCGCCCAACCGTCCAACCGCCCAACCGCCGCGGTTGGGCGGTTGGGCGAAAAGCAGTAGATGTGTATCGATTTCGCTGGCGAAAAACGCCACCGCGATGGAGCTAGCGTTTTGTCGAAGGCGAAAAACGTCGCGGTTTGGCGAAACGCCCGTCGATACGTACCAAAACCCTTTCGCCCAACCGCCAGGCTCTTCGCCCAACCGCCAGTCGATATGTATCGAAAGCTTTTCGCCGAACCGCCGCGTTTCAGAGAAACGCTGGACCGCAGTGTGTGAACAGTGCCTAAGGGAAACGGGCCCTACTTTCGCGTACGGGTTAAAGAACATTTGGATGGCTTGCGAAGATCACAAGTCCGGACGCCACTTGGTTGCCATCGGGTTGAGTATCATGGAGATAGAGTTCCAGGTAACTGTGTCCATCCTAGCACAGGAGCCTGAAGTCGCTGCGCGGAAAACCTTGGAAGCGCTGTGGATTTCAGCAAAAGACCCCCTGATGAACAGGAGAGAGGAATGTGTAGTCATAACACGTGAACTCGCGCCCTTCGCCGACCTATGTGGTTTTTGATCTACAATGAGGTCGCGGAGTAGAGGTGTAAGCTCATTGTTAGTAGTACTGCAGCTTGGGTGGTCGATCTCACGTCATAGCGGCTGAGATCAAGGTAAGCCAACTCACACTTATCGATCTATACCGTTAGGTGGTTTGCTAGGATATCGAAATAGTCTTATGTTCTTGTGGGGCGTTCGAGGGAACAATCTCAATTGTTTTGGACTCGTCAGGCCCTGACGAAGGCGATGAGGCCAATAAATTATAAAAATCTTGGATGGCTCAGACTATCCACCTGTTTGAACATAAAACTGACATTGTTTCCGGGCTTCAGCTTCCACAAATATTTTTCCTGTTTCCGGGCTTCAGCTTCCACAAATATTTTTCCTCCCATCAAGCAGGTTGCTTGCGGTAGTGATTACCTCTTCATCTCCTCCAGATTTAACTGCATCCAACGTTCTCCACAACTTGGTCATCGGGATTCGTTTCTCCAAGCTTCTGAGTTGTCATCTGTGTCCAGGCGGTGACTATGCGCCAACCTTTTTCCAAATGACTTCTGCTTGGAAACTTCTTTGGCAACCTCCTTCTGACCCATGTTCTCCAACGGGAACACGATGACCCTTATCCCGAGGGTGGTCCAATGACCAGAGTAAGCCTCAGGGCGAGGATGATGTCACTTTTGTGATGAGCTCCTTTGGGACCATTCTTTTCCTAAAGCCATGCCGTTTATGGTGCTGCGAATCCAGTAGAACCTTTCTTGAGCATCCTGCTCGCTCTGCTGTCGTTCGCGAGTTACTTCTTGAGCACCACGAAAGCACTGCTGTAAAAGCCGATGCAATCGTTCCCGAGCGCTTAATGGTTCGATATGGCCGACATTGGGCAGACGAATTCCGCTCACTTAGTGCAGGTCAAGGAGACCTGCACCGAGTGGGCGAAATTTTAGTACCTTTTCCGGCGCGCCGACGTCCAGCGACACCATTCGGTCCTTGCAGAGCCTGATTTTTAGAGGAAACGTTAGTTCCTCCCTAATAAATATTGAAGCCGCGTTCCATGATGACCACACGCTTCCGAACGGCTGTTTTCCATAAGCTCCTGGGAACTGCATACCTCTTTTTCCGGGAAGCACTCATCGACGCATTGAAATTGTGTGCCCTCGTTTGGCAGCGCTCATCAGCACTGCACCAGTGAAAACATCACTATTAGTCTTACATACTCGGATTTTATTTTACTGCCTCTATGACCTCTGTCTGTACGGTGTCTACTTTCCCATCAGATACCTCCTTTGGCACCACTCCCAAAATGTCGGAATGTAGTCGAATTTGTTCACTGCTTTCCCCAATTCTAACAGAGAGCGCCGAGTTCCGACTTCACTTCCTCTGGTTTCCCGGTATGATCCTGCCCACTACCTTACTAATTGGGTGTGTTTGTCTTGCTTTTTCCCCGGGCGAGAAGACATACACGCGCTCGTCCACCTTTGGATATTCTCTACTCTGGATTTGTTCTTTTTGTCATACAAACTTTTCATCTGCTCTCATAATCTGAGGTAGTATTCTTTTCCTCTTCCATGCGCTTGCGCGACTGCCTGGAGGATTTCTATCTTGTAATCGTCCAGATTCCTGTTCACCTTATATCGGCTCATATCACCGTTTGGAATTATATTGGACAGAAAAAGTAGATCAATCTCATGAAAAGGGAAATCCGGACTCTCTCTGGTTGCCCTGTGGGGAACCACATTGTATGCCATCATACAGAATGGCGGCCTAGTATCCCACTCAGTAGGAATTACAGTTCTCTTCCGCGGCATTGTAACATTGCTCTATTTAGCCTCTCGGTCAGTCCATTTTCTCACGGGTTATATCCTTTCAGTTACATGCGCGATATTCATGATTTTCGAATCCCCTCCACCACTTGATTGGCAAATTTTCCTCCTCGGTCCGACAAAATGCCTCGCCATCTGCAGCTCTCGGCAATCCATCTTACAAATATTAGGTTGTCCGGAAAGTTCTCAGCGTTTTGGGTGTTTCACTTTAAACGATCGTAACTTTTTTAATACTCATCGGATTTAATCGAAATAGGCACCATTCGAATCAGCACACTTTTGCCAATGTGACAGCAGTCGAGAAATCCCATCAAAGTAAAAAACTGGGTGGTCGAAAATTCACGAAATCCACTAAGGCTTTTTTGCCTGGTCCTGATTGATGAAGTATTTTCCAGCAAGGGAGTTCTGAAAATGTTAGAAAAGGTGATAGTCGGTTGGCGAAAGGTCTGAAGAATATGGCGGTTGAGGTAGAACTTCAACCCCCAATTCGTTCAATTTATGGATAGTGATTTGTGAAACGTGTGGGCGGGCGTTGTCATGCAAAGGAATCGGACCCTTTCTTTTGATAAGTGTTGGCTGCATCTGACAAAATTTTCGGTACAATTCGTCGATTTCTTCACAGTAGGGTTCTGCTGTGATGGTTTGGCCTGGTGATAAAAAGTTATAGTGGATCACACCAGCCGATGACCACCAAGCCGTGACCAGAATCTTTTTTCGTGAGGGTTCGGCTTTGAAAATTACCTCGGTGGTTCGTCGAAATCCAACCACTGTCCGGAACGTCTCCTGTTATCATACATGACCCATTTTTCATCACAGGTGACAATTCGGCCCAAAAACAGGTCGTTTCTGCTGCGCAAAAGCAATGCAGAAGGAACCTCGAGACGTGCCGATTCCTGCCGGTCACTCCGATTGTGGGGCACCCAATTGTCGAGTTTTTTCACCTTCCCAATGCGTTCCAGACCATCTGCAACAGTGGATTTGCCAAGGCCTAGCTCTTCTGTTGAGTCCTCTCCTCCTGCGAGTCTTCTAAGTCTTTTATTTCTCGGCGACGTTTCGGGCCTTAAGCCCTTCTTCAGGTCTACAAATATCACATATCTACAAAGCCTACACCAACAATCCTACTATTATACATACACCAGTCTGGCTGACGCGCACTACTGCGCGCATGGTTAAACCCATGGTACTACGATAACTGACAGGATTTGTCCTGAGCACTAACACTTAGCCTAATTCCCATGTTTCGAGGACGACCCATTTCATCATGTTTCTCCATTTTAATGAACATTTGCCAGTGTTTGGTGCCTATCATATTTCTAAA